TTCTGTATCTGAAGAGGGTGATGTATCAGGTCGTACATGTAGTTGGACTTGTGTGAAAGAAAAAAGCAGAATCTCTGTGTAGGTGTAAACCCTCTTAATCCTCCTGTCCATCACATTAACACAGGAGGGTACAGTTACACACTGAGAATAGGCCCTGTCACATGACACAGCAGGGAAACCCTTCAGTTAATATCGAACTGTGTTGTGGTTACTTTCAAACAGGAACCTACATCTTATTTGCATTTTTTAGTGACTGAAATCTGAGTCTCTAATCAACAATGAAAGGGTTTTGAAAATTTTGTTTAATAAATGAGAAATTGGATGCTGCTGCTTGATTTTATGTTATATTTTACATTCCTTCAGCCTCAGGCTACACAGCAGTACAGACACTGACGGATTATTCAGATTTGGCTAAAAAGAAAGTGAATGTAAATACAGAATGTCCTGGGGCTTGTTAAAAAACCCAACAAGGTGTTCTGTATGATACGGTTAATACGATGATAGATATTGATTGCAGCATGCATGCAGCTCCCATTTATGCATATCATTCTTAAACCACAATAGCCATATGTGTGTACGCACACACACAGCAATGAAATGCTATCCCTTGATGGGTTAGCAACAGACACTGAAAATAACCTGCCAGGCCGCAGTCTCCCTGAAGGGTGACCCTCACACACTGGTTTCTATGGAAAGACAGCAAGCAAACACACAGTCAATAAACAGTGTGAATAGGCTGTGCATTTAGAAGCAGCTCAATAAAAAGTTTCACAGGGTGTTGTTCTGAAATGCTGCTCTGGCTAACTGAGTCCAGCATGTGACATCTGACTCAGCTGATGGAGGGTTATTAGTAATGGTCACAGTCTCTGCTGAGTTCACCTTTAAAGGGACAGTTCACCCCAAAATCAAAAACAACAGTTTTCCTCTGTAGTGCTGTTTATCTATATAGAGATCTAGACTGCTTTGGTGTGAGTTGCTGAGTGGAGATATCGGCCTTAGAGTTGCTTGTCGAATTCCTTTCTACTGAGCTACACTACACCCACCAACTGCATCACAGTGCAGAAGGAAGCGTGCATCTACTCATGGACAAGAGGCTTGTGAAAGTGTGAGATGTAAACTCCTCCTGTAACGTTAGCTAGCTCAGTGGTTCTAGGTGAGCTAGCAGTAGATGCACTCTTCCTTCTGCACTGTGATACGTTTGGCAGGTGTAGCTCAGAAGAAATCAAATAGTTCCGACAATAAACTGCTCATGTTTTTAGAGGGTTTGTAGATGTTTTTAGAGTGTGCCTGTACCATGGAACTAGGAACGATTATAGCTCTTAGAACACAGTTTTGAAGCACCGTCCTAGGTCCTATTCTTGAGTAGGTACTCTCCCAGCGAAAGAGGATCTATGAGTGATGCAAGTGTACAGTGATTGGTCCAGATGTTGTTGAGTGTATGTTGATTGGTTGAATACAGCCAATGCAGCACCAGCAAATGCTTAAAAATCTGTTAGTCGTGTAAACAACACATTGAAGAAAATTGATGTGATTTATGTTCATAAATATGAATTTTTTTATTTTAATATCACTCAGGAGCTGTGTTTTTGTATTAACACTGTACAGAAACCATGTTTACATTCTATGTTGCAGGGTCACATTTAGCTGAGGCACTTTTTCTCCAAGTAGACACGTGAAGCGACAGAAATTTTACTCTCCGTCTGAAGGTTTGAGAGTTTAAAGGTGATATTGCATTGCCAGTTCCAGATAAGCAAAGTAGACTCATTCCCTCTTGGTTTTGTGCAGTAAGTAGGCATGTTTATTCATTTACCTGCTCCATGTTTCGTTTGAGTGTTATGTGAAGTGTGTGCCTGTTTATTCTTGCCTGTTTATTCTTTAAAACAGTTTGATGGCGGCATTGATGATGGTGAGGTTGACTGAGGTGCAATTGAGACGAATATATCCATCTGTAATGAAGAACCATGACGTCAGGGAGTGACAAATAGACTGATAGTGAAGTCCAGGCTTTACTGAACATATATTTGACAATGAAACTATAACATGATTTTGAATTGTCAAACAGAAAATGACATTGCTATGCCAACCACTGGCTGGCTTACAGTTAGTAACTCCTAATTCCTATTGGCGATGTGAGTGCAAACAGAAAAAGAGGCCTAAAAGATTTCTACTTCTCGGGGGAGGCTCCTCAGTGAGCGGTTCCTCCCAGGGAGTCCCCAGAACTGTTGGGTCCAAAAATACCTGTGGATTATTTTAAGTAAGCGGGTCATGATTTCTGGAAAGAGATGTTGCTGTTGAGTTTTTCAAATCTATTTTTGTTTTTGGCACTTTGAGCCTCACCAGCTGAGTGTCATGTAGTCCCATTAAATTGGAGAGAGGGCAGACATCTCTACGGCTGATTACTCCAACACTCGGCAACTCACACCAAAACAGTCTAGATAGATAAATAGCACTATGGATAAGAGGAAAAATATGTATTTTTTATTTTTATTTTGGGGTGAACTGTCCCTTTAAGGTTTTAATTTCAACATTTGAGTGTAGACAAACTGCTAGGTGTTTTGTATCACTCTTCACAGTTAGTATGTCTTGATAATAATTTGTTGAGGCATCAGGTATTGAATCCGCACACACAGACACACACAGAGAGGGGTACTGTGAGGCATTCAGAACGACCAGGCTAACAAGGAGCCTTTTAACTCAATGACAGTCTGGGCTTGCTAATGTGGAGTGTGATGGAATTCCCTTTTGGTCGCTGCTCCTGGGCAAGTGTCAATGTTTCCCCACTAATGGGCAGGGATTAAAATGTAAGAGTGAAATTGGATGCCGCATCTCTTCTCCTAAGGTCGGCTTCACCGGAGGGCTGTGTACAAGTAGGCCATACCATGCAAACAGTGAGCCTCTCAGGGGGGACACCGGTAACTAGATATGCAGTCTACATGTGGAGCTCCTCTTGAAACTTTACGATGAGAATGTGAAGGGTCGAGAGGTTGGCACATGTTAGTCACACTGTAACATAAAGAAAAGTATTGATTTCACTGCTTTAACTTTCTGTCATAATTCTTACAATATTGCACCAAAGTTAATCGACATTGCAGCGGTACTTAATAATGTATGGAGAACAATGTGTCACCTGATAGCCAGCCAGCATGATTCTGTGTCCATGTTAACAATGTTCCCTTGAAGGGGACATGACTAAGCCAGCCACAGGCGTAGATTTCATGGGAAACACAGAGGACATATCCCCCAATATATTTAAAACATGTGCATTTGTCCACCAAGACTTTTATTTTGACAAAATTAAAAACATTTACACCATAAACTGATGCAGAACAATTCACCAGAATGCAGGAAATTAAGTGTCTGACATTCAAAATTCGAATCCTACACCCTTGCAGTCTTTAAATAAATGGATAACCCTGTAAATTGGCACCAAGTTCAACTAAAGACCAGTCCAGTAAAACAATAACAGCATTTGTACCATGTCCAAAACAGATGCTATTATTTTTACTCCTGTGCAGAGAAATTCAAAGCAATCAAATGAAACTGTCTTTTTAGTATTATCACATACTGCACATATCCAGCCATTACAGTGTTCCTTTATAAACCAAGTCAGAAACAGGGGAATCAATATCCAAAATATAAGCATATTGTACAGTAGGAAATAAAACATGAAGGAAAGAAAGAAAGAAAGAAAGAAAGAAAGAGAGTCAAATGTGCAAGCAACAGCAACACAGTTGATCAGTGACGTAATCTTAAATAGACCCACTACAGGGATGCATGCCACGAATGATCCGATGGGGCGATAACAGAGTTGCCATGGCAACTGTTACCAGGGCCAGGAGCTGGAGCACAACAGTGAGTGTACGCTCCATAAGGGTCGAGAGGGTTGCAGGGCAACGACTGAAGTAACAGGCTTGTGGAGAGGTTCCACGGTCTCATTGTCTTACACCGTCCTCCGATACATCACAGCCATTGTTCTCACATGAACAGAAAATAGATTTCAGATTAATGGACACGTTTCTGAGAAACCACCTGCAGGTTGCACATTTACATGAGCCCATTATACAGGCTGCAAACCCTGAAAATCTCCACATGTACACCATTTCCAGTCATAATCACCCTTAGTAGGACACTGCATCCCTACCATGCACTTGCCTCAGAGGCAGCATTGTCACATGTCCTCACATCAATGTAGCTGCCTGTGAAGCTTTTTTCTTTATCCAACAACTGTACATGGTGAAATGAAAAGTAAACCACCACTGCGAAGCACAAATCGTTGTGTTTACAGTGCTTTGACTCACCTAAAGCATATTTTTACTTTACCTCATATTGCTTACACTAGATGTGCTGCACGAAAGAAACATAAATGAGACAATACAGAACATGCTTTGTTGGGGGTTCAGTTCTAAAAGTCATGAATCAAGCCAGCTAAACTGGAACAAAGTTGGCCCAGGTAATTTTGTTTAAGTAATATTGTGCTTCTTTTCAACATTTCAGCCAAAACAACAGACTGCTGTCCTTTGCAGAGGGAGCTTGTCCATGTCCTGTCACTGTTGTTCTCATCAGCAAGTGCAATCTGATAGAAGCATGTGGGTCAAGGAGGAATGTTTTTTTTCCATAAAGTGCAAATTATATTAGCTGTCTAATCTAATTTTTTTCAGTTTTACACAAGAAGCAAAGCTCATGGAGTTAACAAACAGCCAGACATAGTTACCTTTGCCCATGGACGGATAACTGAATGGGCCCACTGGGCACAGGCCCAGGGGCCCAGAGTGTCAGGGGGCCTTCACTTGCAAAATGTCAGATATCAAATTAACATGGACCGACCAGGAAGAGACTCAAAATGACCACAGAGAGACACAAAAAGACCACACAGAGATGCAAAAGGCACACAAAATAACTACAAAAACATGTAAAACAACAACAAAGAAACACGAAACAGCCACAAGAAGACATAAAATTACTTCAAAGAGACACAAAATTACCTTAGTAAGACACAAAATGACTACAAAAGCACAGCAGACAACCACAAGGACACACAAAATGACCACAAAACCTCAAAAAGATACATAAAGACTACAAAGAAAGTCTGCCTGTCTTGCTCCTCTGTAGGAGAGGTGGTGGGGCCCTTTGCATGTCTGTGCCCAGGGGCCCATTGTCACATAATCTGCCCATGCCGTCGCCAAAAATGTTATTTTTTCAGGTCAGTTGTTATCAGCAGAATTACAGAAAAACTACTGGCCTAATTTTCATGAAACCAAATCAAATGATCCAAATCATGGGGTGGATTCACAATTTATTTTTCACTTCTGTTAACATTACGTGCAAGAACATCTGGCCCTGGTGGAGGTCTGCGCTCTCCAAGTCTCTAGTTCCCTATGTATTTAATTGTTAGAGTGAAGTCAGCTGCAGCTGCCAGGCAGTGCTATGCTGCGTATAAATGTCTGGGAAATTAAAGCATTAACACTTTTAGTTATCATCAAACGAGCGCAGCCATCTGCGGAAAGAGCTTTTTGGATTACGTATGTGTCTGAACAGCTGCTTGTTATGTAAGTACGTCTGCCTCCCATCATCTCATGGGCTCTCAGCTCAGTTCCACACCAGGTGCCTTAGTAATGACACCTCTGCCTGTCAGCTGGGCTCTCCTTTGAGTCAGATGAAAGTCGGCCTGGCCTAACATGCTGCTAAGTTGTGGCAGCGTGAGCTGTGTGAAGGAATGCAGTCAGTTTGAAATGGTTTCCCATTTGTGTAGTTAGAGGCCGTTAAGTCACAGCAAAGGGGAGGTGAAGAAGAACATGCAGCAAAGCATTCACCCAAGTAACTGGTTGGATGGTGGCTCACGGTGGGTTGGGTCGGTTGGAAACACAGACCAGCGGCAGGGAGCCGTGGTCAAACAGCTTGTACGGCAAAGAACCTTTCGAGGTCCAAACGTCTGTCTTTGGGTCGTAACACTCGAAGCAGTCTGAGTCCTCGATGACATCGTGGCCGTTGAGGATACGTCCACCGGTGACATAGAGCTTGTTGTTGATCACTGTAGCACTGTGATGCATCCGCCGCTCCTTTAAGTTCTCACACTTGACGAATTTGTTGGCTTTGGTGTCATAGGCAATCATTCGCCTGGTGTATCCTGGAAATTAGATTTTTATTGAGCATATTTTTACGGACAAGCCTGGTGATTGATATTCGATGTATTTCTTATCATCAACAAAGACTAAAACCAACAATAAGCTGATAAGTGTTTTCTGAGTATCTAAAGCTGATTTAGTTTATTCCTCTGTGACAAAGAGCTCCATCATTGTCTGAAATCTATTAAAAACACATCAGTGAGCCACACTGTTGCACTGGGAGACATGTTCTTTTAATACAATCGAAATGGGCACTGTAGTTTATTTTGAGTTCTACATACAGTACACGGTCCTGCCACTGGAAACACTTGTGTTTGGCCGCTGTACCAAATGTGTATCAATGTGCAGCTAAAAATAGTCCCAAACAATTGCATTGTTTTCTCCTATTTATATAATGTTTGCTAAAAACTACAGTGCCCCGGTGTTTAAGAAAGATACTTAGCAGTGGGCTTTGGGCTGGGAGTTTCAGGCAAAGTACAGAAATCTGAAAGTATACACCTACTGTACAGATGTTAAAGCTATCATTGACAACTTTTATGAAAAAAACTTTTTGTGATATTTGCTGAAACTATCATTATATTCTAAAAGCAGTACACAAGACATATCAGGAGACATCAGAGCTAAGGAGTCTCTAATGTGGGAAGAAGCTATTAAGCAGTCTTGTGGTTCTTGCTATTATACTCCTCTATCACAGACAGTGAACTGCGGTCAACCTGTCAAACTAGGCAGCGCTGATTAAATATGAAACAAGATACTGTTACTGCATTGCCTATTTCTCACCTCAAATGTTTTCAGCAACATATTTTAGTGTACTGTTTAGCTGTAAAATGACAAAGTTTGTGACCTGGCCACCATGTTGAAAACAGTTGACCAAAGCACCAAACACTGCCCACTGGTTGGGCTAACTTTTTTCATTTTACAGCTAAACAGTACACTAAAATATGTTTCTGAAAACATTTGAGGTGACAAATAGGCAATGCAGTGACAGAATCTTGCTTCATATTTGATCAGTGCTGCCTAGTTTGACAGTTTGACCACAGTTCACCAGCAGCGAATGGCATGACTGACAGAAGCATTAAAGACTCTTTGGCTCTGATTGGTTGTTTTCATTCACGTGCAATAAGGCTACCAAGTTACCAACTACAGTTTTTACTACGGCATTTATATTCTACAACTGTGTAACAGCTGGGCCAACCATTCACTGAGCTCACCTCCTATGATGTAGATCTTGTCTTCAATGACAGCAGCAGGAGCACAAACATTTTTCACCGTCCTTGTTTCTAGCCTTGACCACAAGTTACGAGAGATGTGATACACCTGTTGACACACCACAAACATCAGTCAGCCTGTTTACAGCAGCATTTGAGACTGTAGTTTACTGTCTTCTTGTGTGGCATTCTGAAAATATCTGTAAATACTGGCAACAAATTCTGTGTCTGTACTTGAGTGGCAACAATGCAGAAATTGGACTCTAATGCTGATTCAATGTTGCTTAAATGAGAAGTCTGACCCTACCTGAATCAGCCTGACTGGGTTCTGCATGGCGTCCTCCCCTCCGAAAACATAGATCTTCTGATCGCTGGCTGCAACAGCTGGGTGCAGCGCTGCTGTGGGCATTGGAGCCATGGCCTCCCATTGATTAAACATGCTGTTATATCTTTCTACAGACTGAGAGATCTTTTTGTCCACCCCAATGCCTCCTAACACAAAAATAAAGTGCAGATAGGACACACTTTGGTGGGCGTATCGTGGCTCCAACATGGGCTCAGCAGTCCGCCACTGGTTGGTCTTCAGGGAGAGTGTGTAAACTGTGGCGCTGACTGAACTGTCACCTGATGTCATGCAGAGGCTGAGCCCACCGAGCACATAGAGGATGCTATGAATACACACATATGCAGCTTTGTAGAGGCGCAGAGGAAGCTTGGCCAACCACTGCCACCGATGAGTTCTCTCATCATATAGTAGGGCTTCTCGTGAGGTCTGTTCATTGTTTTTGCGTCCTCCAACCACCACCAGTGTTTCTCTGCAGGTGTAACGTCGTGGCGTTGTCCAAAGCGGCTTGAGCTCTCGGCTACACTTGGTGCTGACTGTAAGCATGAGGCGACGCACTGACTCGATTATCTCAGTACAGAGGGTGGAGGACTGCACCAGTGGGTCATTAGCAATGAACTGGAAGAGGTAAGTCGGGTGGATGTAGCGAAGACGGACTTTCTTGAAGAGATCGTGGATTGCACCGCGTCGTGAGAACGGGTCATGGTGGATCCATGCCAGGAGGGTCTCAAACACTTGCTCCTCCTCAGCACAAAGTCGGTCGTCTTCTAGGTAACACATTAGCTCAGGTAGAGACAACTCACAGAAGTCTTCCGTAGCGGCCACATCAGAGAAACACCTCACAGCCATCTCCTTCGCCCTCTCCCTCAAACTCTCACAGTGAAGGATCTCAGACAGTCGTATCATGCTCAGACAGTTTTCTGGACTCAGCTGCTCCTGCAGGAACATGGAGCAGGCCTCAAAGAGACTTCCATAGTGAAGCATGGAGGCTGCCTGCATGAGCGGGAGCACTATCTCCATGGTGATAGTGACACAGCCTGTGTAGACATAGTCCACGATGCCACTGAGGACATTTGAGGAGATTCCCTTCAGATTCACTCGGGCCTGACTGCTCTCCAGAAAATTGCTGCAGAACATGGCGCGGAAGTACGGGCTGCTGGACACCAGGACGTTCCTGTGGCAGGGGATCTCCTGGTGCTCAGTGCAGAGCAGGACGTCTGTCAGGATACGCTCCTGACGAAGGATGTTGAGCTGGGCAAGAAGGTGGGAAGGCAGTTCAGAGTCTTTGAAAGAGAAAACGTCTCGTGGTCTTAAGGCCATTCTGTGGAGAAAGAAAAAAGAGACTCCATGATCATGTTGTATTTCTATTGTCCATCAGAACCAGATGGTTGACAAAAACATGAGCGTACGCTGACATTACACAGTTCTTAAAAAGTATGCTGATGACTATAGATCCATACTTCTCTCATGTCTGTATGTTAAGGGGAAAGTTCCAGTCCCGAAATCAAAAACACATATTTTTCCTCTTACTCGTAGCGCAGTTTATCAGTCTAGATTGTTTTGGTGTGAGCTGCTGAGTGTTGCAGATATCAGCCGTAGAGATGTCTGCCTTCTCTCCAACACAATGGAACTTGGTGGCACTCCACTTGTGGTGCTCAAAGCACCAAAAATATACATTTTAAAAACACAACAACAATTTTTCGTTCCAGAAATCATTACCTGGTTACTCAAGATAATCCACAGACCTTGTTGTGAGCAGTTTCATGTAGGAACTATTTTCTTTCTACCAATATATCACTGCTCAGGAGGAAGTGTGCATCTACTGCTAGCTCTCCTAGCACCACTGAGCTAGCTAACGTTACAGCTCAGCTGAGGAGGACGCCATTAATGTTTACATTTGCGCTGTCACAACCATGAGCCTCTCGTCCATGAGTAGATGCACACTTCCTTCTGTGTGGTGAAATGATTAGGAGGTTGAATTTGGTAGACAGAAAATAGTTCCTACATGAAACTGCTCACAACAAGGTCTGTGGATTATCTTGAGTAACTGGGTCAGCTGGTTTCATTGCTACTGAGTTTTTCAAATTAATTATTTGAGCACTTTGAGCACCACAAGCCAAGTGCCATCTAGTTCCATTATACTGGAGAGAGGTCAGACATCATGACATTAACTGACATTTTATTTGGCCTTCACTTCTTCAAACTTCTGCAGGGCAGCTGTCCTTAATGTGACAATTACTGACTCACAGATTTCTATTTTTACCCCGTCTGAATTATCTCGATGCATCTATGTAGCATCAAGCCACATCTCCCTCATCAAGCCGTCCATCACTGCTAACATTAACAGAGCCATATCAACAGACCATCTGTGTTTGTCTCTCCATCCCCTCTGAATTTCTCTCTCTGGACATCTCAATGCCTCTCGCTATCTCTATTGCTAATTTCTATACGTTGAGGTTTTTTTTACACCATTTTCCACCTCTCTTGTCTACTCTCTCACTAGGTGGAGGGTTTGTGATGATCCTGCTGTTTAAAGAGCGGGCATTTCATTGGGCTATTAGCGACACTAAGTCTTCTAATCATGGCGACAGCTACTGATTTACTCCCACTTACGGGGCCCAGCTTGTCTGATATATTTAGACCTCTGATCATTATTGTATATTGTGAAATGACTGTAAGTGACGTTTCACAGATAATTATTTCTCCTCAGATTAAATAAGACCTGCTAGTTGAGAGAAAGTGCTCCTTGTAATGAATTGCATCAGAAATTAAGACTTGAGTCACGTTCATGTATAGATTATAGTCAGTCACTTGGATTACTTTCTGTTTCTGAACATTTATCATGAAACAAGTATTGCTGTGTGTTCTCTTTTGTAAAATATTATATATATATTTTGAAACTCCTAACACCGTAACCAAATACCAAAACTGATTTATAAATATGTTATCAATAGAATATATTCCAGTGGTTATTATGAAAGTGGCACAGCTGGATTATATTAGCAATTTCTGACTTAAAAAAAAAAATTCTTGATCAAAACCTATAAGATGTGAATACAATTTAAGCAGACACTGAGGCTTTTACTTAACAAAAGCACCAAGGCATTTAAATATTATGTTTGTGTCAAACTGGTGAGTTTGACACAAACGTGTTGCTTATGAACCTGTTGCCAGTTCATCAGCAACATCTGTGACTGAGTGAATCCTTACCTCCTGCCCTCAGAAAATCAATAATCAGTATCCAAAATGTCTGGTCAGTGTGGTCAGAAAGTATGTGTTCCAATCAAAAAGGACCAAAACATTATCCAGACAGAAAGTGGGTAGTGCAGTCAAGGAGCATGACACAGAGAAACGATGAGGCTTTCCAGTTAGGCGCTGTGGAGCTCGCCATGAGGCCACTGTGTACATTCCTACAGCTAAGAATAGTATCCCGGGCCACCGTGACTCCAGCCAGTCCTCTCATGTGACACAGAGCTGTTTGGTACCCCGTTGCCGGCTTAACAGCTCTGCCAGGGTCCAGTGGAGAGAGTGTTTACAATAGCCAGGGGAGGGAGAATCATCACAGGGTCCTGACTCAGCCATCGAGCCCACCCAAGCCGGTGTTTAATCAAAGTGTCCCCGAGCTGCTAACCCTTGTCCATCTCCCTGTGCTGTTTAAGACCTCTCATCCTCCTCCTCCCTCGTATGTGTGTGTGTAACCCAGGATGAAGGTAAATATAGAGCGGTGCTGATGGGCCGGCTTGATCAGGAGAAACAGCTGTAAGGACTGGGCTCAGTGTTCGTGAAGATGTGCATGCTGTGTCTTTGTGTTGTTCATGCACACCTGGATATGACTACTGTTGTTACTATGACTACTACTCACCTGTTTAAGGTGTCAGTACACTGCAGCACAGTCATGTGGCCAAATAGTATCCATTACTCTCAATCCTGGATATAGTGGGGATAGACATACTGTGGTCTCAGTGGCATATTTAGCCAGTGAAATCTAGTTGTCTTTTGTCTTTGCTGTCCATTGTCTTTGAGTCCATTGTTTGATAAGCCATGTGATATTCTTTACTATATTATTCCTTTCAAAAAGTAATCCACCATGAAAATGGAATAATAGAGTGCAGAGAACTCTTTGGCTGATGTAGAGTTGTGGTTCCTGACCAACATACAAGGGCCACAAAGATAAATTAGACTTTAAGATGATTACAAAAATCTTTTTATTTACCTTACCTTAATTTTTTTTGCTTCTTCTTCTAATTTGGTGAAACCTGTGGTTACTGGTGGTAACATCATATTTCACCAGTTGGACACTTTTAATGTGAACTGGCAGCTGATGGAAATGTTCAGTTTGCATTAGCAGTAACTTTATACAACTCTAAGATAAGAACAACAGTAAACAGTGAGGCTGATATCAATAAGATAAAATTACAAACAGAAACGTTGGCTTACATAAATAAAGGGGACACGCCCCCCTCAATATGTGCGGTAGGCTCCGGTATAAAAACATAAAAGTAGTACTTGACATGATTGAAGACACTGAAGACACATTATTTAGAAACACAACATACACTCTTGCTGGATTACATTTATTGTTTCCTGTGAGTCCCATGTGTGTATTTGAGTCTGAAACAGGAATGGCGGACTCCGCCACTAACAAGGATACTAAGAATGACTTTCCTCTCTTTTAATAGATGATTTAATTATACCCATTGCATGCTAAAAATGGCAATAGACTCCTTTCCCATTGCCAGTAGACAAGTTTGCCTTTCTATTTCTTTCTCTAGTGTGTCACGTTTACGATCACAAATGCACTGGACAGGACTGTAGTAAACAGTAGAGAGCAGCATGGAGGCCAGTGAAAATGTAATGGTGGTTACTTCTTTTTTACATGTGTTTCTTTTTCAGTCTCTCTCACTGTTGACTAATCTGAAAAGATGTTCGAGCGCTGCAGGGACAGAGATGGACAGAAGTTACGAAGGTCGTGCCGGTGGATTCTGTGGTCCATTAGAATCCCTGACTCAGCCCCTTAATCCTGACCATTTAACAACCCTCAAAACTCAGTCATTTTTTAAGGGAGTCTGGTGCTGTGTCACACATTCTGATAGGTGACAGATTTTGGTGTTCACGCACAAGGGGTGAAAATTAGCGTATCCACTTGGGTGCTATGTTTCCATCCCTGCTAGAGCTGAAAAATACCTGTGACGTCTGCACAGTCATTTGTTAAGGGAATAAATGTCCATTGTAACCTTTCCCACTAAAGACAAAGGCTTTCTGAGTGTCTGACTTATTTTTATCAATATTATTATTATTTTGCTGAACACTGAACCATCACCTCTTCAGGCCTCTAAAATTAAATCATAAATCAAACAGTCCGAGAAGGAAAACTGCTGCTCACAAGCGGACATAGCTTCATTTTAAGGCGCCAGGAGCCAAAGAGTCTTGGAGACATTGATATGAAGGAACAGGCAGCAGACTCTCATACCTTGCTGAAAGAGAAAAACGAATCTGGACAGAACCTGTTGTAACATTATTTGAAGTCACTGATGGGCAAGATTAAAGGAGGAATGAGATATATTCTCTTTTATGTCATGACCTCATGTTTCCACTCATACTTTTCAGAGATAGATATGGTCCTGAGGCATTTACAGCTCCTTTTCCTCACAGTTGATATCACTACTGTAACTTGTCATTTCTTTATCTCTTAAGGGGGCCTTATCTTCAGCTCCTTTCTTACTTGCACTCCTTGCAGCTCCTGAGACAGCAAGATGAAATATTGCCATGTTTGTCTAGCGGCAAATGACGAGGAACTGGAGTTACATGTGGACATATTGAATGACAAAGCTGCAAGAAAGTGAGCTGTCAGCAAGTCAGACATCATGACATGTGAGCGCACACAGCTTTGGTGGACTTTGTCACACAGTGAAATCCTACACTCAGTTACCCACTGACAGCTTCATGCTCATAGGTCATGGTGTGTAGCTAGACACTCCTTCAGGGGCGAAGCTTCAAATCTGGCAGAGACCAGTTTCTTAATGAATGCAGGTTCAGGTGCAAGACGAGTATTAGAATTTTCCACTTTCGCTTAAACCCTCACTTTCTTGATCCACTGATGTCCTTGCTGCCGAACATCTAATGATGGCTTTGAGGGCAATTTATTTAAATCTACTGATAGAGCTCAGTGGAACTAGGCAGCCCCTTATCTTCATTTTGCACTATTTTCTAAATCAGATTATTATTTTTTGGACACATTTATGTTTTCAAGGAATGTTAAAGGTTATGTTTGCTTTGTGAAATTCTGCAGAAACATTTCTTTAAAAGTGTACAGTGGTGGAAAAAAGTTTTCGGACACCCCATGCATTTGTGAAATATTGCATTAAGAATCACTCTTAGGTCTTCAAGTGCAATTTCTTTTAGTACAGTCACAGCCAAAATACTAAATAAATCCTAAAAAAGCCATTAAAAACTTAAAATTGATTGGTTCCATAAAAATACATAAGAAACTTTGAGTATTGGGTCATTTTGGTACCAGTGATGAAGGTCGTTCTTTTTATTAAAAGACACGATTTTTGTTGCCAAGCTTTGTGTCTACATAAAGCCAGCACATTTGAAAATTCTTCAGACACAAAAATGGCTAAAACAAGGAACCTAACACAGGAAACATGCCTGAAGATAAAGATTCTCAGCCAGGAAGGATACAGCTGCCGCCAGATAGCCAGGAAGTGCAGATGCAGTCCTTCAGCAGTTGGATACACTCTGCAGAAATACAGACGAACCAACAGCTTGGAAGACAAACCAAGATCTGGGCGTCCAAGGGTTTCTTCAGCAAGAAATGACTGCATCCTGATCTGCATGTGCAGGCAAAACCGCCGAATGACATCACAGGAGCTTCAGCAGCAGTGGTCAAACCAAACTGGTGTCCAGTGTTCCACCCGCACTGTACGTGGCCGACTTTTAGATCATGGCTTAAGGTCCTACAAGGCTATCAAGAAGCTCCTGATCAATGAGAGACAGAGGTTAGCCCGGCGTTGTTGGGCCCAGGCACACAAGAACTGGACAGCCAGGAATTGGAAGAAGATTTTGTGGTCAGATGAGTCCAGTTTCCAGCTTTATCTTCCTCCTACTAATGTGAGGGTACGCAGAAGGCCAGGCGAAGCATTATCTCCAGCATGTACAGTACCTACTGTCAAGCATGGTGGAGGCAGTATCATGATTTGGGGATGCATGAGTGCTGCTGGTGTTGGTCATCTCACTGTCTGTGATGGCACATTGAACTCTACCAAGTATTGTACCATTCTCGAAACCCACATGCTCCCTTCTGCGCGTGCACTGTTCCGTCAAGGTAAAAACTGGATGTTTCAACAAGATAATGCCCCTTGCCACACATCCAAGGCCAGTAGAACTTGGCTGCAGGAGCACAGTATCCAGGTCTTAGAGTGGCCAGCTCAATCCCCAGACATGAGCCCCATTGAAAATCTGTGGTGGATTATCAAAAGGTCTGTTTCAAAGCATAAACCAAAGAATTTAGAAGAATTAAAAGCAGTAATTCAAGAAGAATAGGACAAGATTACCCCTCAACAGTGTGAAAGGCTCGTGGGGAACATGCCAGCCAGGATTAGAGCTCTACTACATGCCAATGGCAGGACTACTAAATATTAATTTGATGATGTGATGGTTTATTTATTTTTTGTTCAGTTTTGAACACATTCTCTGTTATTTGTTGACTTTGATACTGACAATGTTGAGAACTGACATATTGAAACTGTCAAGAATTTAGTTTTGTTAGTTTTTCTTGTAAACAATAAACAAAAAAATATAATTTGTATTTGTTTGTATCTGTCTAATGCAGCCACACCTTTTGAAACACAAAAAAGATTTTTCCACAAATATTTCATGATAATATTTGAGATTGTGTAAAATTTTAAGGGTGTCCGAAAACTTTTTTCCACCACTGTATTTTGATTCCGAGGCTTTATGATGGTAATTAGGCATAACAAATATTGATCAGTTAAGAGCATTAACAGGCTCCATTCATCATTGCCTATTTAGTGTTATTCTACAGTGGCAGACAATCCCAGTGAATTATTCCTTTGAAAACTGATATTATCCCTACTCACCATGGGCATTGCTAAAATGACACCAGGGGCAACCTTTTGCGTTGAGTGCCACAAAAGCTGCAGCCATTGTTGTTGTTTGTTGGACTTGAACACCATTCTCCTGGGCCAAAGTCCAGGGTTCGTTGACCCTATCCACCTCACCTCCTGCCCACCCTGAACGGACTTTCAGGCCCTTAAAATCCATAATCCATTGCTCTGAGCGTCTATTAATAGTGGTTTTACATTTGAGTTAGTGGAAAGCACAAT